TTAACCCCTCGCTACAGGAAACAAACCACTCCAGCTATAACTTGGAATTGTGTTAAATGGAAATAATATATATATATATAGATATCTATATATCTATATCTATATATAATGTTTCACAATAGATAACTAAACAATCAATTGTTGCACATGAATAGATAGATAGGTAAGCCTAATCAGTGCTCAAAGTTCATATTCTCAAGGGAAAAAGGTGTGTTTCTTGTGTTCGACCTTCATGCAGTGTAATAATCCTCCCCACTCATCAGGTCCACTCGATCAAATCGCAGTCAATGGAACTTCTCTCCAAACAACGGGCAAACTCCCCATCAGGGACAACTATGTGTTTCTCCACTTCCGATCTCCTCCACGAATGTATTCAATAGGTGGCAATCAGGGAAAAACGCCAATGTACAGGTTTAGACAAAGAGGATACTCACACAGAACACTGAGAAATAGTAAAAGGAAAGTAAACCAGAAACAAAGAACCCAGATACTAAATGGGGAAACAAAGGAAAAAGAAAAGAAAGAAGACGTTGAGGGCCCCATCCAAATGATTACACAATATGGAGCACAGTGGGAGGATTTAAAGATAATCCTTAAAAAACACTGACATGTATTGCAGCTAAATCCGATCATAAAGGAAATAGTAGGCCCATACCCACAACTAGTAGCCAGAAGAGCTAGGAACTTACAAGACCATCTTGTCTCCTCAGAATACAAGCCCAACACCAAGGACATGTGGCCAAAGGGTGTAAGAACAAAAATCACTGGAATGTACACATGTGGGAAATGTCAAATCTGTCCGTTTGTAGAAAGAAGTAACATTTTCTACACTAGTGACAAAGAAAAAAACTACCAAATAAAGGAATTCATCAATTGCACCACAAGCAGGGTGATATACCAAATAGAATGTCCGTGCAGGAATTTCTACATTGGTAAAACTAAGCGCCAATTGCGGGTGAGACTGGGTGAACACTTAAGGGATATAAAAAACTTCCATTAAAAAAACAGCAAATATAGACAGCCCCATTGCCCAACATTTTAATACATTCCACAATGGCAACCCAGAAGGCCTGAAAGTAAAAGGAATATATGTCCTGAATCTTTCAGCTAGAAGAGGAGATTTCGATAAGATCCTTAAGCAGAAAGAAAAAATGTGGATGTACAGATTGGACACCTAAACCCCCAAGGGACTCAATACTGAATTCAACTTACAAGTCTTTTTATAAGCTCTGATCTAGTTGTTATCCACTAACCTCCCCATATCCACCTTCTCCGATACTCCACACCCCTATTTATGTATATATCCTCTATGATATCCTGTCAAAGTAATGCATTCCACATAAATAACTAATGGAAAGCGTGTTATTCCAGAAAGACACACAAGTAACCAATGGAGTCCAAATGAACATTGTTGCAATAACTGCATGGGAATCGATGTTAGGCTGCAACAAATGACCTGAATGATATATGTTGACATTCGTATCACTATATGTTTTTAACTTACTAACCCTACTTGTACTACTGCTGAAGAACGAAGTCTCCTATGTTAACCACTAACACCTGTACCAAAACACGTTTTTTAAAACCAGCAGGGGTTAATGACCTAACTAATTGGATCACCTATAAAACTATCACGTCATTACCCCAAGATTACGTCCTGACGAAGCCCCAGTAGGAGGGGCGAAACGCGTTGACGCTTTGTGTTCGTGTGAAAGAACCTGAATCACCGAGGACTATACCGATGACTCTACACTCCGGCATGTCCTCCTAATCTGACCATTTGAACATGACCCACTAAAATTCCTCATACTCTCTGATACCATAGCGAAGGGAAAACCGGCTAGTACCTACAGCAGAACCCACAGACCAAAAACTACACTGGATGGATTAATCCACATACCAAAAACCGCCTAAATGGGAATCAGCTGCAGCGTCTAAAAACCGACATCTCTGACTACCAAACTCGTAAAGACCGTGAGTCATGGATAATTTCTAAAATATGTTTTCGTTTTTTCCTTTTTTCTTTCCTATCTCGGGTAGAACCGATATCTGAAGAATCACTTGGTTATAACTAAATGAAAATTTGAGGAAGTTTACCTGTATAGAAGGCTTCTCTCATTAAATCATCAACATGTCTGCTTTTTAAGTCACAAAATAACAAGTAGTGATCCATCTGCTATAAACCCTAGACCACAGCAGCAATATAACATACTAACCCGCTAATCGAGATATAGCGATAATTGAAACCAGACCTTCCTACCAGTACTCGATATTCTACTCCAGTGGGGTTTTGAATCATCAAAACAGCCTGAGGAACTTATATTTGGTGTGCCCTGTCAGTCTCATATTCAATTCAAAAGGTGAAATTAGGTCTAATCACAAAGTACATGTTTTTGTGTGTGTACCTGAGACAACGTTGTCGTTTTTTTAAAGGAAAAGAAGTTTGTCTTGTCTTTTTCGGGAATGGGTGTTATTTTTCTCTATGTTTCGAAATAAATTGATATATTTTCTCTGCCAACAGACTTGTTACCCCACTAGTACCTTATTACAAATCACTCCAGTACAGATACCTCCACAATATCAAGATTTTTCCAATGAGTTATGTAAGAAGATGGCAGACACTTTACCACCCCCATATGCCATATGACTGCCCAAATGATTTAATCCCTGGCAGTACTGTACCTTTTGGCTGTATACAGTATACCCTATATCTCAACCAGAGTTATAACATATAAAGGAGTATCTTGATAAAAACCTAATGAAAGGTTTTATCCAGCCATCGAACTCACCAGCGGAAGCGGGAATGCTTTTTTAAAATAAAATCACAATAAAAAGCAGGTACCCTTTACCCCTCATTCCTGAACACTTGGAGCGCTTACAAACCGCCAAAATCTACACAAAACTTGACCTCAAGGGAGCATACAATCAAATCCGAATCCAACCTGGCGATGAATGGAAAATTGTATTTTGCAGTTGCTATGGTTTGTGCAAATATTTAGTGATGCCCTTTGGCATCCATTCCAATTTTTCAACAATTATATCTTCAGAGACCTTCTGGACGTGTTGTATTTTATCTTGATGATACCCTCATTTATTCCAACAACCTCGCCAAACATCAGAAACATGTAAGATGGGTCCCGTCCAGGTTAAGAGTTCACAACTCTTTGACGCGTTTCGTCATGTGACGTTTTCAAAAAGTTATCTGCCTTCTTTTTGAAAGAGTCACATGATGAAACGCGTCAAAGGGCATATTTGTTTGACACATGTGATGTTATAGACCTTTTTATTCATTGTCCGGCCGGCCGAAAATGTTATATCTTCTATGTAAGTTGCTATTTTTTAAAATAAATATTACTGCCAGTTATACTGCACCATGAGGGTTGTCTCCTATTCTTAAAACCACAAAAACGTTTCTGGGATTCTGCGAGGGGGACCGCTGAACCGTGCACGGGAGAAGCCGCTGCTTTCTCTGAAGGATAGCTGAGGAAAGGTGCGGCGCTGCGGGAGAGAGCCGTCTATTTATGCCCGGTCCTTGTCGAGGAAGAGTGAGGTCTTCTGTTGGAGGGGATTGTGGACCAGAGAACTATCCTTCTGACGGGTTTATTAACTCACTGTTTCTGGTGAGTACTCAATGCTTGGGGGGCAGTTGGATTAGAAGGAAAGGAATAGAAAGAACTTTCCCTTTTTTCATGACTAAAAAAGTTTTTTTATTGAACACTGTCACTTCTCCACTGATAATTAAGTTACTATATTTCAGGACTGTTATTAAGTATCAGTTCACCATTGACACAGATTATTTTGTGCTTTTTATTTTGTTGTTCATCACTGCTGAATTTATTTTCACTTGTTATTATATTTCGGGATTGTTATTAAGTATCAGTTCACTATTGACACAGAATATTTTGTGCTTGCTATATTGTGGTTTATTCTTTCAGAACATCGTTTTTCACAGATTATTATTGCTGAATTTATTTCTCACTGATCATTCTGGCTGTCAGCACAATCTTTATTTATCACAAATATTGGAATTTAAACACATTTAATTATACGTGTTTATTTTATATTGATAATTATATATTTAATTCACCTATATTTATTACCTACTAGGAATATTGATGGTTCATTTTCAACACTAGATCACCATTATTTATATTTATATTTTTTGTAGTTCCCCTTTAGTGCTGTGTCATTTTTTTTTCGATTTTTAAGGGACCCCCCCTTTTTTTCATAGCAGCTTTAGGGTTAATTGCTTGCTAGCTGGTTCCAAGAGCGCATAACTGTATTATGTGTCGGCCTGTTGCCATCAAACCATGCGCCTAAAACCAGCAATATTTCCATGCCCAGGGCCGGATTTACTCTCTGCTGCCCCAATGCCAGGTTTCTCAATGCGCCCCCCTGTATGCAGGCTGCATACAATTGATCTTGTACAAATCCACCGAGATCACTTGTACAACCAAGAGGCTGCTTTCCCACTGTACATTCAGCCCTGCTAAATGTGGAAAACAACTACCTGCCCGGTGCCTGGAACTGTGTGTCCCAGGCGTCGCGAGGAATTACACACCCCTGCTGCCCCTCTACTCCCTGCTGCCACAAGGCCAGGCCTCGGTTGACCTTGTGGGAAATCCGGCCCTGTCCATGCCTACTCACAGAAATCCACACCCAATATTTGCAGGTACACTAGTTCAACAAAAGGGGTCCATTTAAAAAAAAAAGATGTGTAACTTATGCGTCCAGCAACACTGCATATAAGTTCTTTCCATGCAAGTAAACCAGCTGTTTTGATAATTTTTAGTGCAATTTAATTTCCGGTAGAATGTTCTTCAATAGGCATATTCATAAAGATATATTTGTTTTGTGCATGTTTACCAGCTGTTTTGAGAATGGGACAAAAATTATTGCAATTGTAATGTCATGTAATTTCTCTTCAGGTCAAATTTTCTCATTAGGTTCATTCAAACAGAACAGAGTGAATAGGGCAAACAACACATAATGGCACTTACCTTAGTATTCTTTTCAAAGAAAGACTTTGGTATAGTTGGAAATCTCAAATGTGTTGAAAAGATCCTTGGTGAAGGTCGTGCTTTATTACTCTATAACAGAATCACAAAAAAAGTAAATGCTTCTAGTATACTCCTAAATACTTTAGCAAATAAATAAAAGGGCATGACTGTTAAAATATTACAAAGTTCAGTAACCCTCTCGCGCAACACATGGCAACCCATCAGCATTCATCTCTTAAATGCTGTGAAGCAAGTAGATTGCAATCCATCTACCATGGATAAGTGCAGTATGCAGGTACAATAGCGATTAATTGCTATGGACTGTACTTTTGCACATGCAGTATGGATTATATTCTGAACTGCTTTATTGCATAGTGCTTATCACACATTGCAAACTAGGCCTGCATTGTATTCAGTGTACATCTGTGGACAATTATCTAGTTGCAGGGATTATATTCCCAAACTGTACCGAGCATCTCTGCGATTGTGTGATCCTGTAATTCATGTGTGCCATGATTATTCCCTTTGGTTATTTCCCTTAAGTAAATCAGGTCCTCTAAAATGTCTTGTGCTGTTTTTGAATGGCCTTCTTAATGCAGCATCCCCTGCTTTAATTTGGGCAAAAGGTTCACTTTAAAGAGTAAAGTGAGCTGAAGTTAAATCTGAAGTTCAATATGCTTATATTTTGCATTCCCTGCCCCTCCCCCCTCCTTTAGCATGATAATTAAATTTTTAAATTATACTTTTCTGTTTTCATTCTACAGTATACCTTTATTTTAGTAAGCTTAGTAGTCCATGTTAGGTCTGTGGGGAGTCAGATGTAAATGGACATGTTTCTGTTTACGTCAGAATCCCCCTAATCCATCATGATCAGATCTGCCAAAATGGAACTTTGTTCTGTATGGTTTACAGGACCTGGCTGGAGTTGAGGGTAACCAGATATAAATGGACCCACATCTGTTTAGATCTGGCTTGCCCATAGACTATCATTGGGTTTCTGAACAGATCCATCTGAAAAACTGACAGGTGAACCTAGTCGGAACGCCTGTTTTAAAGAGGACTAAGAGAGTTGGTGAAAAAGTCTTGTATGGGCATATTAAGAGTTACCCTTCCCAACATCTACACATATAATAGAAGTTGTCCAGGAGGAACCCCTAGTACAGTTATATTTGCTAGAAACAACTATATAGATTTTTGTTTAACCTTTTAAGATACTTTAGTATAGAAACAATAAAATTCTGCTTTATTTTACTGACTTCGGTTAAACTAAAAATGTAAAAATCGAGGTTAAAAGAAAAGTCAAAGGGTTTTTCCAAGAGCAATTAGTAAACAATGTATACTTTCTGTTTAGTTACAACCTATCTTTTGCTACATTACATCTGACTAATTATAATCATTAGTTATTACATTGCAACCATTATTGTCTGTTTATACCAACCTCGAATAATTGCAGATTTCCAAATTCAAGTGTTAGTTGGTCCAGCACTGTTTCTTTATTTTTTAATATGCTCACCATTTCAGATAGTATTTGGAATACCCAGTTAGTACCTAAAATAAATGGAAATATATCTGAATACAGTATTTCTTGACATTACTATATATCTTAGATATTGCAATGCTTCTGTACAGTACCTCCGAAACCTATCCTCGAGTGGCAGCAACATTTCACATATTGAGTATATCCAAAAAGTAGCTAACCCATAGTTTCAAACTCTACAACGTACCAAAATCCATAAGGTACAGAATGCTTATATGTCACTCCATTTCCACATGACATATGGAATTTATCAAAACTGGAGCATAGAAAATCTGGAGCAGCTGCAATGCAAACCTATCAGCCTCCTTTTTTATTTTCAGATCTTAAAGGTGCCCATACACCTAACAATTATCGGACTAAACTTTTCGTCCGATGATCGAACCATCGTACGATTTTCGTACGACGGCCCCATCCTGCCCCGATTATCGCAAGGTTCAAACAGCGGTAGTTTAAAAAAAACCACCAGGACGACTTGCGGTAATTGACCGCAATAATTTTAGTTTGCGCATGCGCAGTGTTAATCGTACAACTTTTGACGGACAGTAACGCCACCAACCATGTGAACATCGTACGATCGACCAACGTTTTCAAACATGCTTGACCGTCAAAAGTCGTTCGATTGTACGGTCGGGCACTCTATTCACATGTTACGATTGTCGTACAAAAAGTCGATCGCATACGATTATCGTAAGGTGTATGGGCACCTTTACTGAACAAACTGAAGAGAGAAGCTGATTGGTTGCCATGCACAGCTGCTCCAGATATTGTCTGCTCCAGTTTTGATAAATTCCCCCCATAGTATATTAGGTGTAGGACTAAAAAAAAAAGTGATGTATATGATATTACATTAAGGACAAAATAAAGTAGTTTTTTAACATTTGATGTCAGATAAATAAAGAATTACAGACATAACGAATGCAACCGAATCCGAATTTCCATTTCCGAAATTCGGTAGCGTTCGCACGAACGTTCGTTTCGTTTTCTGTTCGTATTCGTTTCTTATTCGTTTCGTTCGTTGGAGCAAAGTGACATATTTTTTCCCCCTCAAATGTCACTTTTGCTGCAAACGAACGAAACGAATAAGAAACGAATAAGAAACGAATAAGAACAGAAAACAAAACGAACGTTCGTGCGAACGCTACCGAATTTTGTCCGAATCCGAATTGACTTTCACACCCGAATCCCGAAAAACGAAATAACACAAATCTGAATTTAAAACGAAACGAAACGAATTGTTTGGCAGTGCACATGTCTAGTAATTATTTACCATTTACCATTTTTAGCCAGCAGGAAGCACTCTGGGCTCTTGTTCACATCTTTACCAGGCTAGCCATAGCTGAACACTGTAGAAAAGAAACTCCCGCCCCTGCTCTGTTTAGAAGGCACCATATGGAGACTCAGTTATAAAGAGACTGCCACAAATTGAAACGCTGCTGTGCTTTCTTTTTTGAAAACCTGGACTGCTCTGCCAAACTCTGCGCTCTGTATAAAACATTATTTGTAAAATAAAGATTTAATATCATTAAAAATAAAACACAAAACAATAGACTAAATAAAACTGACCCATGCCCAGTGGTGTATTCTGGTTTGGGGCCGCCCTAGGCAAGACGAAACTAGGGCGTGCACACCGCCACGTGGATATAGTTGTTGAGTACCGTATTTTTCCGTGTTTAAGACGCTACTTTTTCATAAAAATCTTTATCTAAAAATAGAGGTGCGTCTTATACACGGGGCCCGCGGTTTTGAAAGTGCTGATACCACTGCAAACTAGCCTCACGGATTGCAGAGACAAGATAACAGTTCTCCTCCAGTCATAAATCTTTTGAACCTGACGTCAGCTGTTGCTGGGGAGATCGTGTAGGCAGTGCCCAGAGCGGTAATGTCGGAGCATTCTGTGACCATAAAAATGTCAGAAAGTGAAAAACAACCTGTAAACTCTCTAAACTCATGGTATGGTGTCAAACAAGAGGTGATTGCAAAGTCCTTCAAGAAATGTGGAATCAGCAATGCCATGGACGGAACTGAGGATGATCTTGTATAGACAGTGACTCAGCAGACAGCAGTGATGCAGCAGAAGTTGAAGAAACTGATATGTTTGAAGCTAAAAGTGATGAAGAAAGCAGTGATGCAACAGAGGCTGAATAAAGTGATTGGCTCAGAGGTAAGTGTGATGCATAATATCATTTAAAATATTGATTTCTGAATTTTGGGTAAGAAAAGATGGGGGATTCTTATACATGGGGGCGTCTTATAGACGGAAAAATACGGCATGTGTTTAGATGAAGCACTGAGATCTTGCGGAATGCTAAATTAAGTTTTACTTAAACGTTAGATCAGAATACAGCATTATAGAGCTTACAGAGAATTTCCTGTATATATCATAGATAAGTATGCATAAAAGGGGCGGACTGACAAAACATAGGGCCCCGGGCGAAACGAGATTATGGGGCCCCCTTGTGCCCCACCCATATACAAGCCCCATTCATTCACAAGCCCAACATACATATACATCCTTGTGTTGCAGAAATTATATCTCCACATTATTTAAAATAGCAGGTTGGTTCACTAAAAGGTGAATTGCAGTGTGTGGGGATAAATTATGATCGCCGCTGAATCACATTTTCAGACTCCATTTTGCCAGTGAAATATTATGCTTAATGAAACATATGATGGAATGTATCTCATATCTAAGACTGTTTAGTAAATATGGTATAAGATAAGGCACACTACCAGAAGTAAATGATATGACATCTAAAATGACAGGATAAAGATATTCCACTATAAGATCATATTCTAGATTTATATTATATTAAAGAAAAACATGCATACTATTAAATACAGTTAGAAACTTTAAAACATTTAAATGTACACTTAAACACATGTTTTGTCACTTGTTTATGACACAAAGTTGCAAGTCACTCTTCTGAGAAGAAGCTAGCTGTTATCTTAAAGTGTTTGGAGAAACTGCCATTCTAGGAGTGTTTTAGTTTATCTAAACTCAGACACTTGCTATGTATATGTGTGGAACAAATAATGCTGATTTCTCCTACCAATGCGCCCTTTAGTAAATAGGCCTGTAAGTGTTTGAATAAGTTAGAAAAATATAGCAAAATAAACTTACGACTGATGCCACTTAGTTAGTACAAACACACAGTACGCTTTGGTTCTGTGTCAAAGCTGGAAAAACAGGGGGTATTAAACATCACAGGACTGGTTGCAGGTCAGTATAAGTTATTTTATTGTTTAATTTTATTTTATTTTTTTTAATGCAAAAATGAAAAAATTTGCAAAAGTACAATACATTAACATAAGTCAAATTAGTCAGAGTGGAGTCGGTGGGGGGTGCATATTGTAAGCCCCAGAATGGTCAGCCCCCCATGACCAGAACCAACACACGGCAGACCTCAGACCAGAATAAATGCACGACAGGCCTCAGTACAGAATAAATGGCCGGGTAGATTTTTTTTCTACATTTAGCCCTGCTTCAGGCAAGCAGGGCTAAATGTAGAGGAGGTTGCTGTTTTGTACAAGTGATCTAGAGCGGCTGTATAGCTCAAGATCACTTATAAGCAGCCTGATTGTCATTCCCCCTCCCCTCCCCGAACACCCCCTCTCTCCTCGCCCATTGCATCTCTCTCCTGTCCGCCATCTCTGTCAATGCCCACTGTCTCTGTCACCGCCAGCTCTCTCCCTGCTGTGGTTTTTGGGGTCGCCCACTCTTCTGGGAGGCCCGGAGCCACGGCAGATTAGTTCAGGATGGAAAGCAGGGAAGCAATACTTGCAGCCTTCCCATCACAGAAAATCGTGCTAGAACTCCAGTATTGGAAGTGACAGGTTCCATACAGAAACCCTGTCACCTCCGCATGCTATCACATAGGGGCTTGCTAGCTCCTGTGTGAGAGTCGCTCACCTCCCGATCTACTAAGCCGACCTGTGACAGTCACATTGTCACAGGTCGGCTAGAACTATGAGGTGACTGAAAAGCACTCACCTCATAGTTCTCCTTTTAAATACACTGCAGTTTAGCTAAAGGAATCTAAATGAAAACCTAAATCATACGCTGCATTTCTGTGCACTCTTGTGTTAAACCTGTATGGCATTCTGCCATGATAATGGGGAATGGAGGCTTTATGGCTGCTGAAAAGTTGCTTGTTTATTTGCAGGGAAAGGACAGACCAGTGGAAATCCTCTATAGAGGCAGCTCACGGTAACATTATGGGGTCTATTCACTAAGCTGCCGAGGGCAGCCGAGTGAACAACCGACCCCATGTTCGGCCGACCCGAAGTGCAAAAGGAGTTCGACTCAGCCGATCCAACATCTGGATCGGCTGAGCCGAGCCTCCGGCAGGCTACTCACTGCTGTTCGGTCTATTCTTATAGATGCCGAACAGCAGTGAGTGAATAGCCGCTGAGCGGCATTCAGCTCGGCTGTTCTGCTCGGTCCCTCCGAGGGAAAAGGAGAATCGGGAGCTGTACGGGCTATAGTGTATAGCCCGTACAGCACCCCTTCGGTTCTACTGAACTACGGCTAGATCCTTCGGCAGCTTCGTAAATAGACCCCTATGTTGTTTACAAAGCCATATGTGTGAAGCAATGAAACATTACATATTTCCATATATTTACAATATAATTTTTTTTTTAAACTCTTTCTTTTCCTAAAAAAATTGTTTTTTAACTTACAAATGCTGTTTAAAGTTTTACAATAAATGATTGAACATAAAGAAAGATTGTTAAATGGAATCAATATTTACACCATTGCTTCAAACATCTTCATAAGGTTTGAAGTTTTCTTAACATGGCCTAAAGCAGGGTCTCAAACTGAATTTGCTCGGGGGGCGCTGGACAAATTTTCTTCTCCCATGGGGGCCACCTGCCAAATTTCATACTTCAAGATAAAATGTAACTATATTCGGTACCAGTGTTAATGTATGATTGTTTATTATGTCAGTATGTTTGTGATGGGTTTTTTTGCATGCAATGTCAGTATATTTTTTAGTGTTGGTTTGTGTGTATTGTCAGGATTTGTGTGAGTGATGTCGTTATCTATGTTAGTGTTTCTGTGTGTGCGTTTTTTTTTCCCCACAGGTTTTAATTTTGTTCATATAGGACCAACAGATTTACACATTCTCTCACACACAGAGAGAGGCATAGCAAGGTCAAGAGGCGCTCGGGGGCAAGTCTTTCATTAGCGCCCCCCACAAACCAAACCATAGTTCAATCGTGATATGCACGATCCATGCAGTCTGAAGAATGGAGGGCCACAGACTGATGGAAGGGGGGTCAGGTAACCTGCAATGTCGGTGGTTACCAGTGCCACCCAAGTGGCGAAATGCTAGGGCACTGTCACAGCTGCAACTGCTACCCTGATAGTTCTGCCACTGTATATAGGACTACAAATCACAGCAGTACATTATACAGCAATGCAGAATACCACCAGCTATAGAGGACTACATATCTAAGCAATACATTAGGCAGTAATGCAGAATAATACCACCAGCTATAGAGGATTTCAAATCTCAGCAATACATTATACACCAATGCAGAATACCATCATCTATAGAGGAATGCAAATCCCAGCAATACATTATACACCAATGCAGAATACCATTAACTATAGAGGACTACAAATCTCAGCAATACATTAAACATCAGTGCAGAACACCATCATCTATAGGGGACTAGCAAAACAAACCCTTGAAAAAGTTCATTGGACGAAACGCGCAGGAGAGGAGCTACACGCTGACGCTAGTGTATGGAGTGGAGGTGACAGAGCTGAGCTCATACAAGCCGATTTTATGTTTTTACAGCGCTGAAAAACTCTTTTAAATGTAAGTGTTCTTATTTTGTATGAATAAACTATCATCTAGCAGTTTTACACGATGTGCGATCTTGGTTTTCTATTTTGAGCGGATAAGAGAGATTTGGGAGAGACATCGGGCGGACGTATCATTTTCAGCTGTTGGTGATTCGGTGGAGAGGGAGACATCGGACGCCAGGGAAGTTTGTAGAGCGTTTAAAGACCACCTGAGTGGTCAGAATTATCTTGTGAGTGTGCTAGTGTTTGTGCACCTGGAGGTGGATCACTGGTCATTAATTGACGAGGAATTGAAGCACAGAAGTCACGAGTGATTGTGGAACTTTATATGCAATGATTATTTCACTCACTGATGTAATACAAAGAAAGTGAACACAAGGATTTCATCACATGTGAACATTTTTTATATGGACTATATATAAGTTGGAGTGAACATTTTGTATAATTGCCACTAAGTATATGCATTTAGAGTTTTATTATTTTAGAGATAGTGCAGTGTCTTTTGTTTAACCCCTTCGTGACGGGAGACGTACACTGTACGTCCAGCCACAAACGGACCAAATGACTCGTCACGTACACTGTACGTGACGAGTTATTTGCTGCACTAGAAGGCTGCTAACCGCTAAGAATCAGCGGTTACCTTTCAGTAATGGATGTCTAACTATCTAGAGATCCATTACTGAAAGGGTTAACCTTTTTCAGACACCCGATACCTTAATATCGGGTGTCTGAGAGTCACAGCAAAGCAGACACACATGTCGGCTTTTGCCGGCATTCTGACAGCTCGTATAGATCGAGAGATATCTCTCTCAAGCTATACTGGCTTTTTTTTTTTTTATCTTTTGACTTTCAAGAATAGATACAAAATGTTATGTATTAGACACATAATGTATCTATTCTTGAAAGTAGAATGTTTAAGTTTTCTGAAACATTCACTGACAGCTGAATCCTGAACTGCTGCAGGATCAGTGTCACTAACTTATTATCGGCTGTTCTGAAGTTTGAAGCAGCCTGATAATAAAAAAAATGTATTAATTTATCAAGCAGTAATAGTGAGATTAATTCACAATGACTGCCTGATATAATTAAATAAATAAAATTTGTCAGTATAAAAAAAGTGAAAAGTGTAAATAAATTAAAAAAAATAGTGAAAAGTGTAAAAAAATTAAAAATAAGGGACAAATAAATGAATGTATGTATTGCATTTTTTTTTAGCTGTGCTGGTTTTGTTAAAAAAAAATACTACAAATCAAAACTGGGAAAAAAAGTTTTTTTTTACGTTTTTTCCTCTTTTTTTAATTTGTATTTGTCCTAAGTGAGGCGTTAGACACACATATGTGATATAAATATATAGCCCTATCTGTCCTCTAAAAAACAATATATAATATGTGTGGGTGCACTTTGTAAGAAAGTATATTACTGACGTGGAAGAATCACACAGCAAAAATGTCAAAAGTGTGTCAGTCATTTACGAACAGAAACCAAAAACAAGCTCAGTCATGAAGGGGTTAATATCTATAGAGGACTGGTGCTGGGTCCCGTACCCTGGTCCACGGTGCCAGGGCGCTCTGGGACAGTTTCTGGGTACACTGGAGGCACAAGGCCCACACCTGCTCTTCATTGTTCGGCTACTCCTAGGTATTCATGAAAATGTCCTCACATCCCCCTGCAAAAATAACCCTTTGCCACCCTTCCCCCCTGGATCTGCCACTGACCTTCAATCCCAGCTATGTGGTACAATGTAATCTGTAATCACACAAAGCTGCGGGGTCCCAGCATGTGCTGAGGCGTGATCGTAAGTTTTTTAAATTACTTTACAACCATCGCAAGACTTTTTTTCTTTTACTTTTTTATTTTTTTACTTATAATTTTTTTCTTATTATTTGTTACTTTGTATTTTTTAATCTTATTTTTTTTTTACTTTTTATCACCTTTTTATTTTTTAATGTTAATTTTCCAGCACAGCACTGTGCTGGAACTCCTGTGACAGCTGAGGGGAAGGCTGCAAGTGCAGCTCTCCCCTCTCACTGTATACACAGAGCTGAGTGGAGAACGGACATTCTCCGCTCTGCTCCCGGCTCTACATCGTGAGAGAGGATCTCAGGCCGGCGGCGAGAGAGGTAGCCGGCGGGGGGACAGGGGGGTGGGGGTGCCCGACAACTGGGAAATTAATTTCCCGGGCAATATGAATCCCTGCCGCCCCCCTGCTCCCTTCATACCGGCACTCCGATGCAAGTACCCCCCCACGATACGCCACTCCCCCCAGCAATCACCCATCCACACACATACCCAATATTACCGACACAAACAGATATACGCACACACACACAGAAATACACACACTAAAGCTGGCCATACACCTATAGATTATCTGCAGATTTTCTACGGTCAGATGGAGAACGTGCAACAGATTCCTCCATCTGCGCTAAACTGTGTGGATGGAGGAATCTCCCACTGGGCCAAGCTTCAGTATCTTGCTAGCCGGCCCCGCTGGCTCTCAAATATGTGAACAATGCCTGCATCCAATCAGATTGTTCACGTATTTTGAGAGCCAGCGAGGCCGACTAGCAAGATACTGAAGCTTGGCCCAGTGGGAGATTCCTCCATCCACACAGTTTATCATAGATGGAGGAATCTGTTGCACTTTTTCCATCTGACCATAGAAAATCTGCAGATAATCTATAGGTGTATGGTCAGCTTAATACACATACAAAAAGGCTAAATTTACACCTGTAAATTTAGGTGTGATTTAGGGATTCCTGCATTAGGAACTGCAGCAGGAATCCGTAATCTGGCGTTTACAGGCAGCAGCTGTCAACTGATTAAGTTAATGATCAGGTGACAGCCGATGAAGTAAATGTCTGCACACCGCGTGTAATACGATTACATGAGGTCAGGAATCAATCACTCTCCCTGGGCACATTGATCGTGCATCCAGTGAGAGTGATTGTTTACTAACTGCATGTAATCATATCACATACCATTACATGTGGTTTGCAGACATTTACATGCAGCGGCTGTCACCCGATCAGATACCATTCTTGGCATGGCCAGGATTAAAACTTAAAAAAGGGGAACTGACCAGATCACCATGTATTTGGGGGAAATGAAGAAGTGAAAAAGGGAAAAGAGGCACGATTTAGATAACATAACATAGAATCACAGATACATATGTGCAATAACATTTTTTGGAGTAACATACACTTTCAAGACTCTGCTTGTATCTTTTCATCTTTTCAAAAAAAAACAATTCCAGCTGTGTCATCTGGAACCACATACTGGCTCACATTCATGAACATGAAAAAATCCAACTTCACTTATCAACATTTTTTCTGCCAACCATCATTTATTGGGGGTCTGTAACACTCCTTTACAGACCATTCCCATGCTGGCAATTAAACACTCTTTCGTCAAATGTCTGTATAAAACTTCATGTTTAGTATTTAGGCCTGATAGGTTACAAGAAAATGAAAAATGATATAGCTTTTGGTATTCAGTATGTCTGCTTACCACATTTGGGAGAGCTGCAAATCAGTAAATCATCATTCCTGGCTTCAAATGTTTCCAGTGCCTCAAACAGCTCCTTACTGCAAACAGCACCAGGGTACAGAATCCCTTTATAATTAAGCAGTAACTCCTCAGGTGGTTTGTTTGGTGCCTGTAACAGGTTCAGAACTGCTTCCCGATCCACTGTTTGCTTCAATTGATCCATGTCTTACTCTTCTATATAATATCTGAAATGGTCAGTTCTTGGCTAGCACACTGTTTTTATATGCAAAGAGCACAAAGGGCGTTCACTGTCAGCTACTAAAAATGCTCCTTTACTGCCACCATGAGTCAGGCAGGCCTTATGTTTTGTGTTGCAGACATACAGTATATGGTAATACATGCCATATGATAATCCTCTCACTTAGCAACCTTCCTAGACAAAGTGAGGACTTGGTCAGAAATAAAAATGGGGCCCTGCATGCTACAAAACTGTACTGCTTGGCAGTGGTGACTCAATAGAATGCGGGATCTAAACAAAATGTGACCAGTGTGTGAGTAGTTTAGATAGGTCTAAAATGTGCAATGTCAGTGCTTTAGTTAGGTCCAAAGGGTGCAAGGTTAGAGGTTTAGTTAGAGCCATAGGATGCATCATCCTTGGTTTAATTAGGTCCACAGAATGCAATGTCAGTGGTATAGCTAGGTCCACAGGATGCAATGTCAGTGGTATAGTTAGGTCCACAGGATGCAATGTCAGTGGTATAGTTAGGTCCACAGGATGCAATGTCAGTGGTATAGTTAGGTCCACAGGATGCAATGTCAGTGGTATAGTTAGGTCCACA